CTATCCCAGGGTCTCTCTACAGAGGACTCAACCTGTGAGATCTACCCCAGTCTCATTTATTCACTGATTCTTTCAGTCAGTATCTATTGAGTACATGCAGATAGATAGATTTGCAGGCCCAGCAGCAAGGGCAGGAGATAGAGTGTAAAGGTGCCTACCCAATGGGTGATCACATGTCCTACCCCACAGAGAAGACAGAAGTCACAAGAGAGAGCCTCACTCCAACAACTTTCCACCATAAAATCACAAACTTCCCTGCACCTGTGCCCCTCCTCTTCTCCTTTCTTGTTTTCATGGAAGATGCTCTGTCTGTATCCTGTGCCCTCCTGCCAGGGTGACAAGCTTTGTTTGTCCAGGACTGTTCCAGTTTAAAACCGAAAGTCCTGTGAAACCCCTCAGTCCTAGCCAGACAAATTGGGATGGTTGAAAAAGATTGGCAAAAGTCTCCAACCTTTTTGGGGACTTCACTTAATTGATAACCACACCTCTTGATATATATATATTTGAGATATGGTATTGCTCTGTTGCCCAGGCTGGAGTGCAGTGGCATGATTATAGCTTACTGAAGCCTCCAATTTCTGGGCTCAAATGATCCTCCTGCCTCAGCCTCCCAACTAGCTGGGACTGCAGGGCATGTGCCACTATACCAGGCTAATTTTTCTTTTTCTAAAAAAACATTCTTTTCTTCCACAACCAAGGTATAACATACAGTAATTTTTTTTTTTTCAGAGATGGGGGTCTCACTATATTGCCTAGGCTGATCTCTGTCTCCTAGCCTCAAGCAAGTCTCCTGCCTTGGCCTCCCAAAGTGCTGGAATTATAGCCACGAACCACCACACTCAACCCAGCTGATCATTCTATATTGGCACCTTCCTATCATCATTTAAAACTCTCCTATCCTTAAAACTCCTTCCTTGAGGCCGGGCGCGCTGGCTCACACCTGTAATCCCAGCACTCTGGGAGGCTGAGGCGGGTGGATCACCTGAGGTCAGAAGTTCAAGACCAGTCTGACCAACATGGAGAAACCCCGTCTCTACTAAAAATACAAAATTAGCCGGGCATGGTGGCTCATGCCTATAATCCCAGCTACTCAGGAGGCTGAGGCAGGAGAATCTCTTGAACCCGGAAGGCAGAGATTGCAGTGAGCTGAGATCTTGCCATTGTACTCTAGTCTGGGCAATAAGAGCCAAACTCTGTCTCAAAAAAAAAAAAAAAATCCTCCCTTGACCCCACCCCCACTTACAGCTACTACTTCATTTCTGTGCTCCTCTTGACAGCCAAATTACCTTAAAAGTTGTTACAACATCCTCATATTCCACTGTCATTTGGCTGTTGCCACTCCTCTGAACCTGCTCCTGTCAAGGGCACCCTAGGCCGGGCATCGTGGCTCATGTCTGTAATCCCAGCATTTTGGGAGGCAGAGGTAGGCATATGGCTTGCACTCAGGAGTTCAAGACCAGCCTGGGCAACATGGTGAAACCTCCATCTCTTAAAAAAAAAAAAAAAAAATTAGCCAGGCACGGTGGTGTGCACCTATGGTCCCAGCTACTTGGGAGGCTCAAGTGGGAGAATCACTTGAGTCCAGGAGGTGGAGACTGTAGTGAGCTGAGATCATACCACTGCACTCCAGCCTGGATGACAGAGTGAGATCCTGTCTCAAAAAAAAAAAAAAAAAAAAAGGCCACCCATGACCTCTTGTTGTTAAACCAAGTGGATACTTGATTCAAGGAGCTTTTAAAATTGGTCTATATCCAAAGTAGGCCAGGCGTGGTGGCTCATGCCTGTAATCCCAGCACTTTGGGAGGCTGAGCCGGGCAAATCACAAGGTCGGGAGTTCAAGACCACCCTGGCCAATATGGTGAAACCTTGTCTCTACTAAAACTACAAAAATTAGCCGGGTGTGGTGGTTCGTGCCTGTAGTCTCAGCTATTTGGGAGGCTGAGGCAGGATAATCGCTTGAACCCAGGAGGCAGAGGTTGCACTGAGCTGAAATTGTGCCACTGCACTCTAGCCTGGATGAAAGAGCCAGACTCCATTTCAAAACAAAACAAAACGGGGCCAGGCGCGGTGGCTCACACCTGTAATCCCAGCACTTTAGGAGGCCGAAGCAGGCAGATCACGAGAACAGGAGATTGAGACTATCCTGGCTAACACAGTGAAACCCCGTCTCTATTAAAAATACAAAAAGTTAGCCAGGCGTGGTGGCACACGCCTGTAGTCCCAGCTACTTAGCAGGCTGAAGCAGGAGAATCACTTGAACCTGGGAGGCAGAGGTTGCAGTGAGTTGAGATCGCGCCACTGCACTCCAGCCTGGGTGACAGAGCAAGACTATCTCAAAAAAATAAAGAAACAAATTTAAAAAAACAAAACAAAACAAAACAAAAAAACACAAAGTAGCTAATGCCATATCATGGTGCAAAGGCTCTGCAATGATAAGGGTACAGCAACAGCTCTGCAATGATAAGGGTACAGGTGGGAGGATGGGAGGATGTGCCTTCCCTCTGCTTCCTTTGAGTACCTGGGGTTGGTGGTCTCAGAAATCACAGGTAGTGAGATGCCCACACACCTCGTAAAAAGACAGAGCCTGCTGCCTTTCACACCCCCAATCACATCAGCCTAGAATCACCTTCTGCCTCCACACAAGAAAACAAATTCTGCACCCAGTCCTCAAGTTAGGGTTCTAGGCCTTAAAATTCTTGTTAGGCCAATTCCAAACCAAGCTCCCCTTATCAGCATCTGTGGTATAGGCCCCAGAAATTTTCCATTTGTGTTCAGTAAGGCGGGACTGGCCAGGCCCTACCAAGACCTCTCAGCACTATTGGGCAAGGCTGACCCTCTCACCTGTGGGACTGTCTTCCCTTGTCTTCTGAGATTCAAGGAACAGCTTCCCCTGCCAGGCAAGCTCCCAATCTCCCTTCAGCCCTCAGCTAGCATGCCAGTTCCCAGCCCCACATCCCCCTGCATGTTCTCATTATAGTCTGTATCTCACATCATTGTTCATATTTAATTGTCTAATTTCTCCCAAAGGCTGCAAGCTCCACGAGGGTAGGAGGAGGGTGTTGATCACTGAGCAGCCTCTTCTCTGAGCCCACCTGTCTCATATTAGTAAGTAGTTGTTGAATAAATGAATACGAGAACACCCATTACCATTTTATTGAATGTTAGCAAGGTGCTTTATCTACATTTTTTTCTAATCTTTGTAACAAGCTAAGTATTCTTTTGTTCCCTATTTTATAACTTCAAAAACTGAGGCTCCGAGAGACTTGGTGACTTACCCAAGATTATCCAGCAAGTAAGTGTCCCCTGTCCCCTACACCTGCAGCAGGGCCGGACTCTGCCCCTTGCCTTACCCTGGTTCACCTAACCTACAGTTATTATCTGAACCAGAAGAGGCCCAGGGCAAGACCTGGCTTACAGGACACAAGAAGCTCCCCTGATGGCTCCTGGGGAGCCAAAACCTCTGTTAAAACACACATCCCGGCTGGGCGCGGTGGCTCAAGCCTGTAATCCCAGCACTTTGGGAGGCCAAGATGGGCGGATCACGAGGTCAGGAGATCGAGACCATCCTGGCTAACACGGTGAAACCCCGTCTCTACTAAAAAATACAAAAAACTAGCCGGGCGAGGTGGCGGGCGCCTGTGGTCCCAGCTACCCGGGAGGCTGAGGCAGGAGAATGGTGTGAACCCGGGAGGTGGAGCTTGCAGTGAGCTGAGATCTGGCCACAGCACTCCAGCCTGGGTGACAGAGCGAGACTCCGTCTCAAAAAAAAAAAAAAACACACATCCCAGTAAGAGAGGAAGAGACCCTTACGCTGTAAGCCATCCTTTATTTTTTGTTTTTATTTATCATGGGTAGTGGAGATGGCAAGAGTGCTCCAAATTTCTTGTAGCTTTACAATGACCAGCACCTCTACGTAATTTTCTGGTTTTAACCTCACCAAACCAGCAATGCTATTCTATTGTATAGAGGTCAGTTGGGGTCCAGGGAGGTGAATGAGTTTGGGCCAAGTCAACTAGGTATTATAGTAACCCTTATCGTGATAGCAAGTCTGATAAGGGAGTTTTGCCTCCCCCTTGTCTTACACACCCCAAATCAGCTCATAGTCCCAGTGTGGGAACAGATGTACTGAACATTTACTGAAAGTAATGAGCATCTGGCTCTTTGCAGCCTTCACCTATTTGGTTCTAATCAAATGTATAAAAGTTATCCCTTACATATGCTGGGGACGTTGGAGGGCTTTCATTCCCACGCTCTCCTAGGTGAGGAGGAAGAGCAGGATATCGGCCCCATTTTATAGATGAGGAAACTGACACTCAGAGAGCTGAAATGCCTCGCGGTCTCAGCACTAGTTAGTGACTGAGCCACAACTGGAAACACTTCGACTCCCACAACCTCCAGTGTTGGAGATCAGTATGAGGTGAGCCCACCAGAATCCAAGCAGCGGGCAGTGGTGCACTATGGAGGCAGTGCACCCCACCGCTGCCGTAAGAGGCCGACCCTCACACGTAATCATCAGGCACCAAGCTTCTCACACTGTCAAAGCCAAGAGGATGGAATTGCCATTCTTGGCGTCCGCCGGCTTTGCCACATCAAGGTTGTCCTTTAAGTTCATCTTGTTCATCTTGGGATGGTCCCGCAGCGGAAAGACTCTGCTGACAGCGGTTGACAATCCCCTCTTGACAAACGGATATGAATTTAGCCTACAGAAAAAAACAGGTTTAAACACCTGTTGGATGTCTGGTTGCTGTAACTGGTGCCAAGCCTAGCCCCGGGGACCACAGAGACTGTGGCCCCACGTAACAGAACCCTGGGTTGGCTTCTGCCCGCTACTCTCGTGTGCCCAGCCCGGAGACACAGCCTGAGAACCTCCAGCAGCCAGCAAGAGGAAGTGCGCAAGCGCACTGTGAACGGCTCGCGCAACACTTTGTTACTTAGGAAACAGCCAATCAGCGATCCGGTAGCTGACCAATGGGAAGCACGGTCTTGCCGGCCCGGCTAATTTGAACGCGAGGCGCCAGGTGGAGGTTGGCGCGGGTAGGGGAGAGTGTGGGGCGCACTCCCCTGGGGTGGGTACTCCTGTCTGTGTTGTGGCAGTGGGACCCGCGAGCAAGCAGCGACGCCAGCGGCGGAGAACTGACAAAAGGTAAGCCCTGGCCCGCTGCGAAGCGGACCCCGCGAACGCCTGCTCTCAGGTCTCAGACGCGCAGACCCAGCTGCTCCGGGCGGTGGCCTGAGCCAGGCCTCTTTTGTGCTGGACGTCAAGGTGCGGCGCGGAGACTGAGCTTTGCCGCCGCCCCGGCAGGCCCTGCATGGACCCCTTTAAACTGGGCGGGAAGCGGGGCGCTTCCTTACACACCCGTACGGGTGGTCGGGACCCCTCTGCTCATCTATGCTGGACCTAGACTGGGCCTGCATATCTGCCACCGGGGCCTGGCCTTCTGTAAGTCGGCCCCGTGAAAGGTCCTCCTGCTCGCAAGTGAGGAATTGGGCTCTTATGCACACTAGAACTAAAGGCCTGGGACTCCCTGCATGTCAGTGTGGAGTAAGTAAGCCCCTCTCCACCCATCTTTACTGAACCGATTGCAGAGCTGCACGTGCCGGTGGCTGTAGCACGGAGTAATTTTTTTTTTTTTTTTTTGGAGTTGGAGTCTGTCTGTCTGTCTCTTAGGCTGGAGTGCAATGGGACGATCTTGGCTCACTGCAACCTCTGCCTCCCGGGTTCAAGCGATTCTCCTACCTCAGCCTCCCGAGTAGCTGGGATTAAAGGCGCCTACCACCACACTCAGCTAATTTTTGTATTTTTAGTAGAGACAGGGTTGGCTGGGCTGGTCGCGAACTTCTGACCTTAGGTGATCCGCCTGCCTCAGCCTCCCAAAGTGCTGCGATTACAGATGTGAGCCACCGCGCCTGGCTAAATATTTGATTGAATGAAGGAACAAGTGAAAGAACATTTATATGACAGAAGACCAGGCCTCTGTTACTGCTCCTAGGATGCATCTCCCCTTAGCTTTGACCTTCTAAGGAACTGAAGTGACATGGAGAAGATTAAGCCTGGTCTGTGCCACAGAACTTAAGGGATTTTATTGAAGACATTGGTTCCTCTAGCATCATGGGAAAATGCCATATGTCATATAATTCTAACAGTAATGCTAATATCTATTGAGCACTTACCAGGTTTGAATGAACTCATTTAGTCTTCAGAAATATATGGGGTATATACTAATGTTATTTACAATTTACAGGTTGGAAAACTGAGGCTCAGAGATGTTAAGCCTAGTTTAGAGGAGAACATCTCAATGTTATATTGCTTTCTCCAATCTTCTCCCTATTCTGTTTCTTCCCCAATCACTGCATCCTATGCTTCAACAAGTACAAAGGTATCCAGTCATTCTCTGCCTATTTCATTGTTGAATTTCCCCACCCCTAGAGAGTTATTTTAAGATGTCGGTCTTTATATTATCTAACCCAATTCCATTTATACCTTTTTAAAAAAGTATACATGTATACTGTTGCAAAAAATAAAATAAAATAGAAGTTAAAAAAAAGTATACATGTAGCATATTTTATAAATTTATAAATTGTTTTTATACCTGGCCACAAAACACATCTAAACAACTATCAGAATATTGTATAAAAGATAATCTCTTTATGTAAGCAATTAAATTATAAATACCACATTTACAATTTTTTTTTTTTTTGGAAGTAGAGACAAGTGCTCCCTATGTTGCCCAAGCTGGTCTTGAACTCCTGACCTCAAGCTATTCTCCTACCTCAGCCTCCCAAAGTCCTGGGATTACAGGCATGAGCTACTGTGCCCAGCTCATGTTTGGATTTTTTTTTCCCCCCCTGAAACAGAGTTTCGCTCTTGTTGCCCAGGCTAGAGTGCAGTGGCACCACTTTGGCTCACTACAACCTCTACCTCCCAAGTTCAAGCAATTCTCCTGCCTCAGCCTCCAGAGTAGCTGGCATTACAGGCACCCTCCACCACGCCCGGCTAATTTTTTGTATTTTTAGTAGAGACAGGGTTTCACCATGTTGGCCAGGCTGGTCTCAAAATCCTAACATCAGCTGATCCACCAGCCTCGGCCTCCCAAAGTGCTAAGATTATAGACGTGAGCCTATATCTTGCCTCACGCCTGGCCTGAAATTTTTAAAAAATACACTTAAGTCAGTCAAATAGGGAATCATAATTGTAATTAAAAGATAATTAGCATGGAACAACTATAAAAATACTATTTATAAAACTTGTGAGACGCAGTTAAAGTGATACTTAGAGGGCAATTTATAGTCTTAAATGCTTATATTAGAACATTTTGTTTAAGAAACTGAAAGTTAATGAGGCAAATACCAAACTTTAATAAGACAGAACAGTAGAGAACATATGTAGAATATAAAAGAAGATAAGACTGGCTGTGGTGGCTCACGCCTGTAATCCCAGCATTTTGGGAGGCCAAGGTGTGTGGACAGCTTGAGCCCAGGAGTTCAAGACCAGCTGGGGCAATATGGTGAAACCCCATCTCTTTTTAAAAATTTAAAATTAAGGGAGTATGGTGGCGTGTGCCTGTGATCCCAGCTACTCAGGAGGCTGAGGTGGGAGGATCTTTTGAGCCTTAGGAGGTCGAGGCTACAGTGAGCCGTGATCGCGCCACTGCACTCCACCGCAGGCAACAGAGTGACACTGTATCGATAAATAAATAAATAAACAAACTAAAAGCAAAATCAATGAAATAGCGTTTTATCATATAATAGAGAGGATTATTTTAGTCAAAAGCTGTATCTAGAAAAGACTAATCAAAAAAAACCTCTGGCAATACTGATGGAGAAATAAAGAAATAAAACACACAAAAAAAGATCTTAGGAGCAAAAATAGGTACATACTTCAGTGACAGAGATTAAAAGAGAGAGAAACGCAATGAAATATTCTTTTTGACAATGCCTTTGGAAAATTTTCTAGGAAAAAACAACTTGCCAAAACTGACTCAAGAAGTTATGGAAATTTTGACTAGATCTAGGACTACTCCGTTGAGGAATTCAATTTTCCATAGAAAAAATTGAGTTAGTTTAAAATGTATCTTCGGCCGGGTGCGGTGGCTGACGCCTGTAATCCCAGCACTTTGGGAGGCCGAGGCGGGCGGATCACAAGGTCAGGAGATCAAGACCATGGTGAAACCCCGTCTCTACTAAAAAATAGAAAAAAATTAGCAGGGCGCAGTGGCGGGCGCCTGTAGTCCCAGCTACTCGGGAGGCTGAGGCAGGAGAATGGCGTGAACCCGGGAGGCGGAGCTTGCAGTGAGCCGAGATTGCGCCACTGCACTCCAGCCTGGGCGACAGAGCGAGACTCCGTCTCAAAAAAAATAAATAAATAAGTAAATAAAATGTATCTTCACAGGCATGAAAAATCTATACCAAATTCCATCAGAAACTTACAGGCAATTAAAAAAGATGATTCTACCTTATGCAAACTCTCCCTATAAAAAAGAGAAAACGGCCGGGCGCGGTGGCTCAAGCCTGTAATCCCAGCACTTTGGGAGGCCGAGATGGGCGGATCACGAGGTCAGGAGATCGAGACCATCCTGGCGAACACGGTGAAACCCCGTCTCTACTAAAAATACAAAAAATTAGCCGGGCGAGGTGGCGGGCGCCTGTAGTCCCAGCTACTCAGGAGGCTGAGGCAGGAGAATGGCGTGAACCCGGGAGGCGGAGCTTGCAGTGAGCTGAGATCCGGCCACTGCACTCCAGCCTGGGGAGACGGAGCGAGACTCCGTCTCAAAAAAAAAAAAAAAAAAAAAAAAAAGAGAGAGAAAAAAAAAAAAAAAAAAAAAAAAAAAAAAAAGAGAGAAAACATGTTGAGTGTATTTTTGAGATCAAAAATGACACAAAGAAAATTACAAGTCAGGCCAGGCACGGTGGCTCATGCCTGTAATCCCAGCACTTTGGGAGGCCAAGGCAGGTGGATCACCTGAGGTCAGGAGTTTGAGACCAGCCTGACCAACATGGTGAAACCCCATCTCTACTAAAAATACAAAAAATAGCCAGGCGTGGTGGCAGGCACCTGTAATCCCAGCTACTAGGGAGACTGAGGCAGGAGAATTGCTTGAACCGGGGAGGCAGAGGTTGCAGTGAGCTGAGACCACGCCATTGCACTCCAGCCTGCTTGGCAACAAGAGCAAAACTCCATTTCAAAAAAGAAAAAAAAAAACTACAAGTCAATCTGTTTCATTAATGTAGTTGCAAAAATCTTAATAAAATATTAGCAATCAGAAACCAGTTATGTATTTAAAAACTAGATTATGACAAAGTTGAATTTATCCCAAGAATGAAAGAATGGTTTAACATTGGAAAATCTATTAATACAATTTACACATTTAGAGATTTAAAGAGCAAACATATCCCATTAGGCACAGAAATACAATTCAATAGGAGCAGGTGTGGTGGCTCACTCCTATATTCCCAGCACTTTGGGAGGCTGAGGTGGGAGGATCGCTTGAGCCCAGGAGTTGGAGATCCACCTGGGCAGCATAGTGAGACATCATTTCTACGAAAAATTTAAAAATTAGCCAGGGATGGTGGCATACCTGTGGTCCTAGCTACTGGGGAGGTAGGTGATGTGATAAAGTGGGAAGATGGCTTAAGCCCAGGAGTTCAAGGCTGCTGTGAGCGGTGATCCCACCACTGCACTCCAGCCTGGGCAACAATGTGAGACCCGGTCTAAAAAAATAAAAAAGGAAAAGAAAAAGAAAATTGAATTTAATAAAATTCAATATCCATTCATGACTTTTAAATATATATAGGTAAACTAGAAATGGAGACAAATTTCCTTAAACAAACAAAGTATGAAATAGTAGAAGCATTCTTTATAAAATCAGGAAAGGGATGAGGATACTCACTATTACTGCTTTTATTCAATATTGTGCTGGAGGTCCTAACCAGAAATGTAAGACAAGAAAAATAAATAAAAATAAATTAAGATTAGGAAGAAACAACACTATCATCAATTACAGCCTTATGATGATCTATTTAAAAAAACAAAAGAACACAATTTCTTCCTCTGCATGACCACATGTAGGAAGAACCAGTGGCCCGGGGGTGCTGTTCTTTTGTGGGTACCAAGGTGAGGGGGAGATGGGAGCTGCCCAAGCCCAA